CACACTGCCGCGGAGAACTGAGTTAAGACTTGAAAGATAGACCCCCGAGGAGCCTACTGTAGAGGTATTGTATTATATGTGAATCTGTGTGTGTGTGTGTGTGTGTGTGTGTGTGTGTGTGTGTGTGTGTGTGCATTTGTGCTTGTGTGGGACAAAGGGGAAAGTTCTCCATAATTTATGTCCTGCAGTTACGCAGCTGTGGAGCAACGATTGGGAATTACAGTATGATATGAGCAGGAGAAAACTGCTACAGTGAAACCCTGATGAAAGAAAAGATAAAGAAAAACAGAGAGTGAGCGAGCGAGGAAAACACGGGAGTGAATATCTTACCATCCCTACAGAGAGCGGTCACTATGGGTGTGATAAGACAAAGGAGACCACAGGAACACTTAATGTGACACTGATGGATGTCACACCAACTAAAGCAAGGAGAGCAGATAAAGATAAAATCATTTCTGCTTTATGTGCCCTTCACAATTTACCCACGTTGGCACCAATCTACTTTAAAGGCGGTGTTATACTTTACACATCTATGAGGATGCCATTGTCTGAATCCACACCCACATTAACTACATTTTGTCACCAGAGTATGAATGTGACACTCTCCGTGGCTGTCCACGTGCCCTTCGATGTCTGTGAACCACGCAGACATCACACTACAACTACTCATCTATGTGCCACGTATGAGTGAGTGAAATCCCAGCGGCTGCAGGATGATCTGTGAGCTCAACGGTTTCAGAGTCATTGTAGATTGTGTCCTGGGGCCGTGGCAATGAGGAGGGAATATATATCTAATCAGCACTTGATCATAATGTCAGCTGAAATAACCATCATACCATGCCACTGAGTAATTCAGAAACTGCTGATCTGATGGGAATTTCCCACACAACCATCTTTAGGGTTAAGATAGTCTCAAAAAGAGGAAACACCCAGAAAGCAGGAGTTCTCTGGATGAAAATGCCTGATAGGAAGGCGACAGTAATTCCATTAACCACTTGTTACAACAAAGGTGTGCAGAAGAGCATCTCTGAACACACAGCAGAAGACCACACCCGAGTGCCACTGCTGTCAACTAAGAACAGGAAACTGAGACTACAGACTGAAAAAGTGCTGCCTGGTCTAATGAGTCTTGGTTTCTGTCATCATCATGTCAATATGAACCAAAAGCTAAGACGAATGTTTCCAGCACCTTCTTTAGGCCAATTAAGATAGCTCTGAAGGTGAAAGTGGCACAACCAACTACAAACAACCTGTACCTAACAATCCTGTGTGTCACTGATGTCAATAATGCACTGGAAAAAAAAATATTTACACCCAAAATGATTACATGTAAATTCCCATTTAATTTTGTTACATAAGTGCAATGTAAATATTCAATATGATGGAATCTGGTCAAATGAAATGTACTTTTTTGGCGTACATTCAGTTTATGCCAAGCATATTTTCCTTACTGATTAATTATTTGAACAAATAAAACTTTGATTTTTATACATTTCATTTGCATTTTACTTCAAAAAAATATTGTGTCATGTCTAAAAAGTACAAGACATTTTTTTTGAGTATAATCATTTCAGATATTGTTGTTTGTGTATCTTGTTTATGTTCGTGACCTCACAAACTCGTTTCTCTAGCCTCATAGTGAGCAGTTGAGATAACACAGTTCAAACAATAAACCTCAACTGATAGTAACAAATACCTTTTATTGATTCTAACATTTCGACGAAATGGGCCACTACACTACTTATTGATTGTGCTGACAATTATAAAAAATAATGGCTCCTCTGATAATTAAATAAATGGATATTAGTAATACTCATGCTGTTGCTACATTATGCCAAAAACACATAATCTGTGATTAAAAGTTAGTTTTCTGCTTTTGAGTAATCACTTAAAATCTCATTTTCAGCCTAGAAACTTATTTTAGGACTCACTGTGCTACATTCTGAAAGTGAAAATAATTTAACTTCTAGACAGGTTGAAAAAATGAACACATCAAAGAGAACAAAGAGCCTCTATAGACTAATCTGAGTTGAGCTCATTCCTCCTTCCATTTTGTGTGTTTGTAGTCGTGTGTGTGTGTGTGTGTGTGAGCCCGAAATGTTTTCTGCAGGCATAACTGTGTCAAATAGCACTGAATCCACCCTAAAGAGTGCACGTTTGGGTTGGGGGCTTCTCTTTTTTCTCTGATTTGGCTCTGCTGTGCTGCGAGACTCTTAACTGCTGAGAGGATTTCCACAGCAGAGGGGGAGCAGTGCTGGTTGAAAATGTGCATTACCGCCACACTCAGCCAACTAACACTCATGCACACTTTCAAGACCATTCATTATTCATTACTCCCCGCTGCCTTCCACAGCCCGAACTCGGTCTCGTGCTCCGAGCTGAGCGGAAGCGTGCTCCGGATTCAGCGTACGGGCCTGACTCAGGAGTACCGACTGAACGCTTTCACAGCATCATCAGGACGTGATTCTTATTAGAAAGCGATTGTTTAATGTGTTTCTAAACTTGGAAGTGTTCTCATAACCTGCATCCTGCATGTTATCCAGGCTTCCTGTTTCCTGAGTGAGCAGAATGAATCGCAGAAATGAGCAATGAAAGTTGGCTTTTACTGTCATATATAATCACCTACAGTATGATTTACAAATGAGGAGCAAGGAAATGTTTTTAAATCAGCTTTTCCAAACAACCTAGTCTTATTTTATTTACTTACATTATTTTACTTTGCACATAGAAACAAAATCAGCAATCCCGGTTTATTCTTGTTTGGCAAATTTCTCCAGCTCCTCCAGATTTGATGGTCTTCTGGCATGGATCTTGGTCTTCAGGTCAGGGCTTTGTGCAGGCCAGTGAGCTATGTTAACTTTGGTCAGCAGGAGCGACGTATGTTTTGGCTCGTTGTTGTGCTGAAGACAAAGGGATGACTCAGATCCAGTTTTGCTACTGACTGCTGGAGTTTGTCACACGTCCTTCTTTCTTCATGATTCCTTCCACCTTAATGAGATTCCCAGTTTCAGATACACTGGAGCATCTTCACAGCATTTTGCTCCCATCACCGTGCTTCACCGCGGGGATGGTGATCTCTGGATTGTACGGCTCTCCCTTCTTTCTCCAAACAGCTGTGGTTTCATCTCATCTGACCAAAGGATGTGTCTCCAGTAAGCATAATCTTTCTCCAGGTCGTCTTTGACATAAGTAAGAAGTGGAATTTTTCTTGGCCTGTACCCCCTCCTTTGCAGGGTTCTAGTGATTTTCTTCTTTGAGACTACAATTCCTGAAAAAGTCATTCACTAATGCCCTGGCAGTGGTTCTGTGGCCTTTAGACACATCTCTCACAAGTTTTCTTTCCAAAGTCTTGGAAATCTTCCTATTTCTGACAGGCTTGTTGTATACGACGTGGCTCTCGTTGAATTTTTTTGATGACACTTTTGGAAACTGTGATGTTGTATAGCCATCTCCTGCTTTGTGAGCATCAACAACTTTTTCTCACAAGTCTAAATTGATGTGTTGTGTTTTTGGCATGATGCTTTCTCAGTGACAGCTCAAACCCTCGCTAAAGTTTTTATACTTTGTGCAAATAGCATGCTAACCCTGAATTCTAATTAGATTATACAGGCATTGTGCATTACACAGTTAAAGCACATCATAGTACAGCAGTGGTTTGTGCTGTAGCTCAATGAAAAGGTTGGGTTTTCAGGTGGAGAAATATTTTTTTAATGACATATTTGTTATTTTGCACAAATTGAAATAATTGATTCTTTCTAAAGAACTGTATCATGTTCAGAAATGCTATGTTAAAATTACTCGCTCTAGTAAAAAAAAACAGTTGGGAAAATTTCTAATAAAAAGCTTTTTCATAGCAAGGACTAATAATTTTGTCCCGTAATTTGCACTCTGTAATTCGTTTCCTAAAAATATCCAAGGTAATGCAAAGCTGTTGAGCAATATAACTCCAAATAATCTAAGGTCTGCCATCATGAACTTAAAATAAAAGAGTGTACCTTAAATTCTTTTTTTTTTTTTGGCCTGTCCCGTTTGGCTCTTTTGCCATCAGAATTGTTGTCTAAAGGCAAAGAAAGATGCCCAACGGATTTAAGTGTACCTTAAATTCTAAATAATAAGCAATATAAGTGTCATGAATAAATGCTAAATCACACAAATACAAATATGTATTTCTTTGTTATTATATACACGTTATTTTATTTTAGAAATCTTATGCACAAAAATACTAAGAGGTTATTTCAAGTTCATACAGTGAACGATAATCTCCTTCCTTCCTGGGACATCAACATCTGTCTGAAGTCTGTGACCTTGAAGAGTCCCCCCCACCACACACACACACACACACACACACACACACACATACACACACACACACACACACACACACACATACCGTCTGTATTCTCACACAAATACAAGTGAAGCAACAGTATAGATCTGGATTTGAGCGCGGGATTAGGGGAAGAAATGCACAGACTAAATGTGAGTAATGCCACTGAACTTGCCTTTCAAGCTCCGGGAGCACATTCCTTTGCATGTTACCCTGAGAAACAGAGAGGCACAGATGACTACTCTGTGACATCAAAAAATTTTCAAAATGTTCAAAAGATGAGGTGCCACGCGTCCTTCCAGGATACACTACCTCCCCCCAAAATGACCACGCATTTAGCCCGGAATTACTGTGAGTGTTTACGCGCGACAGCCCAGGAAAACACCTCTCATATCCACTTGCGCGCTCCCCCGGGTTTAGTAGTAGGCTATCTTTATCTGTGGCGTCATGGATTCTGGGGTATCCTCAGTAAAGACAGGAAAAAAGTCGGCTTAGTGGGCGACCAGAAAGTGTGTGGTGCATCCACTGCTTTCAACTCGTGCAGTCAACTTTCCCGACATCAAGGAATGTGGGTGACATATTCCCGTCTCTTATGACAGAGAGCATGCAACAAGAAACCCCCCTCCCAGCAGCCCGCTTCGTTTCCAAACACCCACGGACTCGGACAGCTTACCTGCTCCACGCAGCACGTCGACAGCACGCGGACGCTGAATGTGGATCCTCGCTCAGTATCTTCAAACCGCGCTCCAAAGCCTCACATAGCAACACAAATAAAAAAAGCCCTGCGCAGATCCAGGTCCTCTCTCAGAGCAACCCTCACTGTCGTCCTCCTCGGTCACCATGGGAAAGCGCGCCATCTTGCGGCCGATCGGATTGCGCGGAGCAACAGGTGTATGGAGGGAGGGACAGGTGAGGACGCTGCGTTCAGAAGCCCTCGGAAAAATATGGAGATTATTTCAAACTCAGCTTCAGTGGTTAAAGCGATCTTTAAACAGGACTCGCTTTTTGTGACACGATTAGTTAACCCAATGGTTCATTTAAAAAAAAATTTTAAAATAAAATAATGCAAAAACGAAACAAAACAAAACAAAGAAATCATATGGTTTTCAAGCGTCAGGCGTGGCCAAGGTTATTATAGTTAACTAAAACTAAACACTAAAACTAAATGTGAACAAATCTTTTCAGTTAACTAAAATAAAGATAAAAACTAGACTTTTGAAAAAAATAAAACTAATAAAATTATTTAGTGAACTTGGAAAACTAACTATAAAAAATATAGAGGACACATCAGTTAGTTTGGCTAAAAAAATAAATAAATAAAATCTTGGACCTGTACTGATTCTGATTCTGATTCTGATTCATACAATAAAAGTAAATATTAAAATTGAGACTGAAAATAACAGAAACTAAACTACAATTCAACACTTTCAAGCAATAAAAACTAATCTGAAATGCCCATATCGGATTAGAAATTAAGTGCCAAATTGTACTTCAACTGAAACATATTACAGCATATTATTGCTGTTATTACAGGTGGGTTATTATTAGTTGTGTGATGATGGTTGTATTGTATATGCTGGTGTTTACATTAGTTTTTGATAATATAAAAATGTAATAAGGAAGAAAAGTACGGAAGCGTAGAGCTGCCACCCAGGCAAAAGAAAAATACAAGTGTATCACGTTTAACGTGAAAAGTTTATTGTTCTAACAAGATACTTTTCCTGTTTGTACAATATTCTATCATGTTTGTACAATATACTTTTCACGTTTGAACAACATAATATCACGTTATTGTTGATATTATGTTGTTCAAACGTGAAAAGTATATTGTTCAAACATGATAGAATATTGTACAAACAGGAAAAGTATCTTGTTAGAACAATAAACTTTTCACGTTATAAAAACTTTCACGTTTGCCTGGGTGGCAGCTCTACGCTTCCGTAGGAAAAGGCTTGTAGCAAAGGCGATATAGTTTTTCACTGTATTGACGTCATTCATTCATTGCTCTGGTCAGTAGATGGTGGTATTTTCCCAGGCATCGCGTCCGGCGTGAGACTTCATTTTGCGGTGCCTTCAAAATAAAAGCACATGATTTTGTCTACTTCATGGAGCGATACGTGAATGAAGTACATGAGAAATGAATGGGAACTATTAACGTCAAAAATATGTATTTGTATATTATACACGAAAATACATTCTACTGTGGCATTGAAATAAAAACACACATGACTTTTGCTATAGCGTATGCTGTTTTCGTAAATACGTACCTGGGTACAACTTTGAAAAAATGTTTTCTACATAAATATATACAAATTAAGTATCCCAGTTTACAAAAAAAGAGATATTATTTTTAAATTAATAAATAGCCTGGCATTATATTGTAAATTTCTCAAGCAGTATTAAATTGTCCTCAAAGAGGATTTTACTTTGAATTCGCACCGGATGTTGCATCTTATCCTGGCCCGCTTCACACAGGAGACCGCTGATGGTGGACGGAGAAGCTATCCGTAATCTTTTTCAAAGGGCTTGAACGTGTGAGGATGCTGGTGAAGTTTGTACAAACTAGCAAACAGCCTGGAGTCTTTTACGAGTCCGTTTTAGTCAGGTGAGCGGTCACTGAACTTAATTATGTTTTTTGTATGTTTGTTTGTTTGTTAGCATCTCTTCCAAATCCATTTAAATTAGCCTGAAGCATGATTGCGTCCACATAAACACCACAAGTGGCTCTCTGGACAGCTGTGAGCGTGGGTAGGCCAGACTGAGCGTGCACCATGAGCAAACTTATCGCTTACTGACGTATTTTTTAAAATGTAGACGTAATTACTGATTTGGGATGGACCTAACACTTTATGTTCTTTCCTCTGTACCTTCCACAGTTTTCTTTGTTCGTTTTGCTCACTGTCTGTTTTATTTTTCTGTCTTTCAGACTCGAGAAATGACATAAGAAGTCTGTTTGTACAGGCAGGTAGTGGTGCCACATAAATCTGCTTTCTCCAGGCTTTAGCTTTGTTGACAAAACAAAAACACACCCAGGCTACTTAGAAAGTTGAAGTAGGAGGAAAAGGAGGAGGAGGTAGAGGAAATCAGTCTCTCCTCATGGCCAGCGGGCGTTTTCCAGGCAAGAGTGCAGATGTGGCCATCAACAACTGGACTGCTCCATCTCAGGGCAGACCGCTGTGTGTCAACGGGACACCATGGATCCTTTACCTGCTTGAGGAATGTGTGGACAACATCTGGGAGTACTGCAGTGTTGTGATAGGACTCATATCCATGTTCTGTTTTTTGTTGTCCACGATACCGTGAGTAATTACTTTGATTATTGTCGGCTTATCGTGCAACCAGCTCAGCCAGTCAGAAATGTTAATGTCTTATATTTGTCTTTAATCTGACTTGCTGGGTCTTTCCAGGCAGGTCTATGAGGCCTATCGGAATGGAAAAGTGGAGGAGGCCATGTCTTTTGGGTTTCTCGTCTTCCTCCTCAGTGGAGACCTGACCAGCTTCGCTGGATGCTATCTCACTAGCCAGCTGCCCATTCAGGTGAACACAGACAACTCAGCCTGGCTGGTTGAGGTCTGCTGGCTGTGCAGTGTGAATCTCTATCAAGCTTTTGAAGGGATAGTCATTATCCTGATACTGATTTTCTTTTTTTCATTTTACTTGACATTTCTCTCTCTTGATTTGTCCCACTCTCAGGTTGTCACAGTGGTGTTTTACATCTTCACTGACTTGATTCTCGTCTCCCAGTTTCTCTACTATAAGATCAAAAACAGCTCCAGCAGAAGTGAGTCCTGACACCGTCTCTGCTCTTAGGTTAAACCTCTGGCAAAGCATGATGCCTGGTTTAAATACAGCACTGTGCAAAAGTCTTATAACATAAAGAAGTGATGGGTAACGCAAGACTTTTGTGCACTTGTTATGTAGCATTTTCCATCACAACCATCTCAGGGGTTTATAGAGAATGGTCCAAAAAACAGAAAGTATCCAGTGAGCAGCAGATGAATGGATAAAAGAGATTGTTTCGAGTACATAAGAAGACAAATAAAATAACCACATTACAAACAACACATGCAGAAGAGCATCTCTGAATGCACAGCACATTTCACCTTGACGCACATGTGCTGCAGCAGCAGAAGACCACACCGAGTACAGAGCTAAGAACAGGAAACCGAGGATACAGTTTACATAGGCTCAATAAAACTGGACAATCGCATCGTGGTCATGCAGCAGACAAATCTTCAGCAACTGTGTGATCCTATAGTGTCTAACAATGTGTAAGAATTCAGGCAGTGCTAATGGAAAAATGGGGTGAATGTCTAATTACCTCCACCAAGGAGGTTGTGTTTTTGGTAATGTTTCCGTGTGTCTTATTTATAGCTCCAAAAGTTTTGAATGAGTTGTGATAAAACTTTGCAGGGGTGTAGAGTAGGGTTTAATATTATACAATAGTTATTCAAGTTATTTATATCCAGTTATCATTAGAGATGGACCGATCCGATATTACGTATCGGTATCGGTCCGATACTGACCTAAATTACTGGATCGGATATCGGAGAAAAATAAAAAATGTAATCCGATCCATTAAATATCACGAAAGCACCTCACAAAACTTGCAACACGCCGTAACTCACCTCAGAACGTTAGCACGTCGGAGCAGTATGCATCACGTGATAGAGCAGCTGTGGCATGCAGGACCTGTCGGTGGTCTGGATAGCATGTGGAGCTTCGCTAGCAACCCGGCGTTTCATCTCCGACAAAGTTATCCCCGAGAGAAGTAAAGCAAGTGTGTAAGTCCATCTCTGAATGTTTGTAAAGCATTCCCACGTTAAGCTTAACAAGCGACTGCCTCTCGCTCTCCGGCTGCTACTTCAATCCTGAAACTGCTTAAATCAGCTGATCGGCTTTTCTGTCGCGAGTCTGTCTCTCGTTTGTTTTTGGTCCACTTTGCGCCAGAAAGAGGAAACCAGTGGCTGAACAACAGCAGCACGTTTAAGCTTGATAAGCTGTTGTTAGAATTTATTTAATATTAATTTCTACACCAGGATCTTTTTCTACGTAGCTGACGGCTGGTAACTGTGCAGGGGCGGATCTAGCAAAGTTTAGCCAGGGGGGCCGATAGGGCATTAACAGGGAAAAGGGGGCACAAACATACATACTTTTCTTTCTTATTCTCATTTAAAATGTCGAGCTTTTAATAAATAATTATCTGACACCCAAAGTTTTAATTTGATGTAAAATGAATAGAAGTCCATTACTGTATATAGTAACTATTAAGTCTAATATAAATACCCTAGTAAGCTATAGTACTTTTTACTTTGGGAAGGTACCATCTGTGCAGTCTGCAATTTTGTTGAAGAAAGATGTTGAATCTATTTAATATTTCTTGAAAAATAATTGATTTCTGTGCATTTTTTTTCACACTGCATCAAATTAAGGTTGATTACGTCGATTAAGCATCATGAGGTGGAGCGTGAGGGGTGGTTCCCTATTTTTTATTTATTTATTTTTGTTGTTGCTGGGAGTTGGAACCCTATTAGTTAGGTTGCTTAATATTTACGCTAAGTACTCTTTAAAATACCAGAATAGGGAGAATGGTGTAGGTCTAAGTTTATTAGATTGATCAGTATTGCTGAACTATGAAATATTTTTTTTTGCATACAGGTATAACAGAATAGCTTTAGTGTAGTTGTTGTTTTAAACTTGAGTATGAACTTGCAGACTTGCAAAATGCAGCAAGATATTTTAAAAAACAGTTTTGTTGATTAAAAAACACTATATCGGATTCATATCGGT